TGAGATAAGAGTTAAGGTGAGCATCTGCAAAACCGTGCCAAACTCGCGGCGCGTTAAAACCCAACTTACTACAGGCGCGTACGATAAAGAAGCTTTATGGTTAACAGAGCGTCAATCGTTGATGCAGCGCGTGCTTGTCGGCAACCCACTGCCAATTCGATAAAGCCGGAAGTGCGGTCTAGGGCGAAAATCTTCAGAGAAGTTCTGAGGACAGTCGAAAATTTAAAAAACCTTTCGTATGCCATTTGATCGCGCTGCAAACTAACTAGGACTCAAAATATCCGTCTCGTGAGCGCTTGAGAAAATGCAAGCGACACGGAACGAAATATTTTTTCAAAGTGATACCTGGAGTCCTTTTAAAAATGACACCTGTCCGACGAAGGGTTAAATGTTTGCAGAAAGTCATTACCGACAAAGACAAGGGAGACTACAATGGTCATTTCTGGCTTATTAATCGTCGTCAGCCAGTCATACCCGACCCCGAAGTGTGGAACACCCGAGGCTCGAACTCGCGACCTGTTAGTTAGAAGTCCGCGCCTCTAACCACTGGGCCACGAGCCCGTAGTTAGAAGTCCACGCGTCTAACCACTGGTTAGACGCGTGGACTTCTAACTAACAGGTCGCGAGTTCGAGCCTCGGGTGTTCCACACTTCGGGGTCGGGTATGACTGGCTGACGACGGCTAATAAGCCAGAAATGGCCATTCCAGTCTCCCTTGTCTTTGTCGGTAATATCATTCTGCCTATATCATGCGCCGCTGTGCGGCTGCTGGTTGGGCTCCAGAGAGAGAGAGAGAGTCCATAAGGCACAACGGAACGAGTGAGCTCCGTAAGAACGATCGGTGAGCGCCCAATGGCATTGGTTAAATGTTTGTCATACTGCCGACAGATTAAATTGTAGGGTGTACCGCGGTTCGTGTAAAATGGCTAGACAACGCACCTACGCGTGCCACACGCGTGCTTGGCGCTCCATACGACGCCTAAATGACACTTAGCCCCCACCTGTGAATTCCAAATGGTGTGATTTGCTTAACGACCACACCCAACTGACCGCTTCGTCTGGTATGCTAAATCAGATGAAGGTCTTCGATGTGTTTGTCTCCGATATTTCCCCCCCCCCCCTAACCCCTGCCATACCTTCCTCACTCGCCATCCCAAGCAAAAAGATGACGAGAATGCAATACTGTAGATGACTCGAGTGAATCCAGGTCGAATTCCCACTGCGACAAACCGGGACTAACAGTTGATTTCGGTGGTCGCTTAGTATATCTTAGTATTCCTGCTTGCCGAAGCACTCCTTACACCTTTCGGGGAGGAGGTTAGAAAATATGTCATAATGCCTCTGATAAGACGCAGTCGGCAGACTGACCGCGGCTTGTGGACGTTAAATATGCGGTCAAAATTATATGAAGAAAAAACCACCACAGTTACAATTTCTGTATCTCCCCAGAAACTACCAGAATGACATTGCTCACTCTGGCAGCTTGGAATGTTCGTTGGTCTTCAGACAACCGGTTGAGTAATCGGTCAATTCGGGTCGCCCGAGACCTGGCGCGCTACAAGCTGAGCAGAACAGAAGCAAATATAAGAGACGGGTGCTGGTTACACCTTTTTCTGGAGCGGAAGTTCAACGGCAAAGTGATAGAATGCTGGAGTTGCTTTTAACATCAGAAATGGCATCGTGAGACAACAGTCGTGCCTGACGCAAGGCATTAATAACTGTCTCACGACCATGCGCCTGCCACTTCGCGGGAACCAATTCGTTACCGTCGTCAGTGCTTACGTACCCATCGTCAGTGACCAACTTCGATGACGTACAGGACAAGTCCCAGGAAGATCTGCACGCCCTCCTAGAGGCGGACAAACTGAGTGTCCTTGGTGGCGTCAGTGTCGGCGACGGCATAGACAACACTACTTGGGATGAAGTACTCGGTCGCAACGGGATATTCAGCTGCGATAGCCATGGTCTTCGTCTCCTGCAGGCCTGAGCCAACACCTCTCCCCCTCTGGTCTGGGGGAGGTGGGTGAATGAATCCTCGCCCGCATCACTGTCAGCTGATGATGTAAGTCATCGTTTGTTGGCGTGGCCAGAATGAGTTTTAGTGATCAAGGCGGTGTGTGGTGCCAACTGTTGGGCGGACAATGGTGAGGTTTCAACTATGATGCCGCAGGCGTCCGCAAGGAAATCAAACAGCAGGTGGACTGAATGTTGCATTATTTGGTAGTCTGATCGTCAGTCAGATTTAAACTATCACCTGAATCTCCGTCTGGGATAAATGCAAGTTCCGGGAGCGAATGTCGCTATTGAGACGCAGCGGAGTCACTCGAGGAACGTCATTAACTCCGCTAACCGGAAATCCCTCAATCGCATAGGCCGTAAGCACCAAGACGGCCATTATTAGTGACGGGGAAATCAGCAATCCGCCCTCAGAGAATAACATGTAGCACTCGAGCTAAGTGAAGCATTGAACTGTAGCCAAAAGCGGCTATCTGCCGATGTCGAAACCTGGTGCATAGTGACCAAGGGCGGCACAAAATGCGCTGATGTCTCACAGGGCTGAAGAACTCCAGGAATACTCGGATCGCAATTAGATGAAGAACTCCGACTCCCTCGAGGCCATTTACGGCCGCCCCCAAAACCAAGGAGACGGCCCAGTCGGGATGTTTATCTCTGTCTTTCACCGGGTTCGCCCATCGTCGAGTTTGTTCCGCCATCTGAAGAAGTTGGGTGAGTGAGAGGAGGGTGTGGTAGATCCTGCACAAGTCTGTACTCGATAATTCATACACAAGTCAACGCTGAGCAGGCGGTGGAAGTCATGATTTGGAAAGCTCTAACTACCACTGACTGGTGGGTGCACTGCACATAAACTATTCTACAATACCAGATAACGGTTCAACTCCTGCTCATCAAGTTGGAAGCGGTCTGTCATATATCGCGGGGTGGTTACAATGCAGAGTAGGCGGAGCGACATAGATGGTCGACAACCGCCAAGACACACGTGTCTGGGCCCTCGACTGTGAAGTGCACAACCGAGACCATCCAAGTCCAGTGGGTCACAAACGGGTACGCGTGGCGCCAGCCGTAGTCAATAGTGTAGAAGCTGCAGTTAAGAGCAGTTCCTTACGTTTGCAATCGTCATCTATTGGCCAACGAAGGACTCGATTATGTTGCAGATGAGACTTTTGGACTTCAGATGGTGGCGCTGGGGTCCGCCGGTGGTCCCTCGGACTAGCTATTAGAACGACCATTGAATCTGCAAACATGTGATACCCCCAGTCCCTTGTGGACAAGAGCTTCTTGCTTATCAGAAAGAATCTACCATGGCGCTGACACAGCGATAATTATGGTAGTACGGTCGACCCTTCGAATTGTAAAAGCCTCGCCCCTCAAAGCACTAGCAATGTGAACTACGTCCATTTTGGTGGAAATAATCCCTTCCCAAGCCGAGAGAAGCTTAATAACTTACACCGGACTTTGTCCGTCAGAGGAACTCTGAGCTAGACCGAGGATCGGGAAAGATCTAAGCTTGAGTAACGCAGCCCAAGCGTCCCAGAGATACGGAGGCCCAGCACTTCCCAATCTAGACTAGCCCGGGCACAGGCCTTGGTCAAAATCCGCAACACTGGGGGCGAAAATAATGTTAAATGGCAGACCTCATAAAACTGGACCGATGAGGTTTGAGCATCTTGCCTGACTGACCGGGCCTGAAAGACTCCTCTGGACTGAAGTCAGAACCTCCTAACCTATCTTAGCGGCAATGAGGCAACACGACACCTAGCTTCACGTGCGACCTAGCCCAGTGTAAGTACCGAGGGCTAGGACTGTAAGTCTCGTAGCTGCCTGCGTACACTGAAACCCGCAACCCTCAAAACTTCCAAAGGGTACAATGGTTGGTGGGCCCTGCGCAGAACTACTGAGGTGAATTTGAAACCCGGACCGTATTCTGGCATGCCTTATTAAATCTTTGACCTGAATACTCCGGCAACTCGATGAGCGACCAAGGCTGGCATAGGTAAGATACAATTGTAGGAAGTGATCGGGCGCATACAACCTGCGCAACGAAAGAGCAGGGCTAGCCCGATAGTCCTTTAGTTCGCTTTTTAGTTTTAATCTCCGACAGGTAGCCGTCTTAGCCCAAAACTTGTTGAAAACTGAAATCGTCTTAGAACGTAGCCGCCAAGTATAACTCAGACGATCGCATGGTATCAGGCTGGGATCATAGCGCCAACCCATAACACACTTCTAGGGCGGTCCACGGCAGACTAGCAACCCACTAGCTCACTTCTGAGCAGAGATAAAAAGGCCCGACAGAGCATGAGGACAAAGCAAACAGAGTAGGCCGGGTGAGTGAGCTCAGTGCCACGCGGGACTAACACACTCGCGACGCCTCGGCCTGCGAGACCCGCTTACGACAATTTAGACATGAACATGAGGCAATGTGTTGTTCCCGGCAGCAGCATTCGAGAAGTCAGGATCGCCATCATGCCAGCCGACAAATGAGGCGATCTAAGGGAGTTTGGCAATACCATACTCGTGGCGTTTACTTTTGACGACTATGGGTGGAGCCGTTCAGTCTAACGTGTGTCAATGCCAGTAAGGTCGTTCATTGTACCTAGACACCTCCGACGCGCTAAGTCAGACGCCTAACTACTGAGAACCAAGGCGGTGCTTGAACAGACGTGTGAGAGGAAAACGACGAAACGTAGCCATGGTAGAAAAAGATGCATGCGAGCTCAGTAGACTTAAACCCAATAGGCTGGCCGTACTGAGCTGCTTACTTAGTCAACTCATACGTTTGGCCTGGCGCACTCGGAGGTATGGGTGATATGGTAATCCAAACTCCCGACCGAAAAACACCTGGTGGATAGGGGCTAAAGGTTCTAAGTTATCACGGGCGCCCATATCAACTACGGTCTGAAAGGTCATAAATACGATCTCTCAGTTCCAGATGGCCTAAGAACTTGGTCCGTCCTCAACAGACAGTGGATGATGAAAATACGATCAGGTGCTGTGCTCAAGCCGGGACGTCCGACACCCAGAGTGAGTAAACCCCGATTCTTTAAGACATGTCGATTGTTGGGATAATGTAATTGGAAAGTCAGACGTTACATCAAAGCTGATAGGTAGGGAGAAGTGTTCTGAAGGAAAAGTATGAGGCATTTGATGGGACAACCTGGGGCAGAACGAAACTTTAAGACAACACACACTGTCCAGTTTATCTCATGATTCACCGGTGAGCAGTTGTGGGGATGTCTGCTCAACTGACAAAATGCGCAGTAAGCAGGAAAATATGGTAAGTGCCCTGCAGATTTGAGGTGCAAGCATAATCGTATTACCAGCCACGTCAGGAATCCTTAGGCTATTCTCGCTTGTCACCCTCCGGGGAGTTCCTCTCGGGTTCTAGAATGAAAGCAATCAGTAAAACGGGGTGACATACCATCGGTGTCTAGGTCGGACTTCCACAAAGTCAGGTTGTCGCGGAGGAGCTGCATAATAAGAGTCGAGTCCTTGTAGCTCTCCTCATTAAGGGTATCAAGTTCCGCAATTGCATCATCAAAAGCATGTTTGGCAATATCGCAGGCCTTTTGCGGACTGTTCATGATCTCATAATGGAACACGGAGAAGTTGAGCGCAAGACCAAGACGAATGGGGTGAGTCGGCTGAAGCTCGGTAGTAGCTTTATCAGTGGCTTGGGAATAAGCATCTAAACTCCGCTTCGCGACCTCTTCACGCGCGGTACCCGTGGCGATTTCGGCCAAATATCGGTTGTAGTCGCCTTGCCTGAAACACAATATCAGCAACCAAGAAACTTACATCTTATAATAGAACACAATAGAGTCTGCTGTCTTTGCATGGGGAATCAATTTGGTCTGCAGTAGATCAAGGATCTCTGCAGCCATTTCGCGCAGCTCCTTTTCGACTTGCTCTCGGGCATACTTGATATTTTTGCAGCACTCTTGTTTCCCTCGGCTTTCTTCCTTCTGTTCAATGGCACTCACAACGCGCCAAGACGACCGACGAGCACCAATCACATTTTTGTATGCTACGGACAACAAGTTGCGTTCTTCGACAGTGAGTTCCGGAGAACTTTCATCGTTGAGTTCAACGATTTTACGCATCCAGACGGCCATATCTGCAAAAGCATAAATTCCATCTAAGAAAACGTACCATCATATCGCTCGGTCTGCTCAGCGAGCTTAGCCTTAAACAGATATTCCTCGCGCCGAGTCAGCTTCTGTTCAGCAGCAGTGGACATCTTTGCTCGGATAACTTCTTAGAATGGCGGACCCTAGAACCTGTAGTGGTTCATTCAAACAATTCTTTCAAATAATTGGACCTCGGACTACTCAACCGAGGGTTCCTGAGTAGTTTGTTACTTTTTCCCGGAATTCATATAATAGAAAGCCTAAGGCAGCAAAGCGTCCAGCATTCAAGTAGATTCGAGTGGTTGTGGGACGTGAAACTCGAAGACACGTTTCCCGCAGCGGATAAAAACGGCATGTCAAAAACACGAGTGCGCCAAACACTGGAAAATTTTCGATAAAAACCAAGGAAAAAGAATAATAAGAAGACGATTATGAGGATGTAGAAGAGGAAGAAGAGGAGGAGGAGGAGGAGGAGGAGGGGGAGGAGGAGGAGGAGGAAGACCGGCCTAAAAACACGTACAAAAGGCAACCGGAAGTCAACAAGGCAAAAATGTACAAGACTGCCGTAGTGCGAATTGGTGGCGAAAGCGCAGAAGAAGCCCGAAAGTGGTTTTGAGAAGCAAGCAGGCTTCGTTGGACCGAGGTCTGCACGCTTATATACGCAGAGACTGGGAGTCATTTTCGTGTTACCTCCCAGGTTATGAACGTTCGAGACTTCAAATTTTAGGGTGGATATTTTCCCAATAGAAAGGAGATTAACACAACTTAGGACCTAAACTACCATCGCAACAACCCGATGGTGCTCAAACGCGGCTGTGTTGGAGCACTCTTCCACGGGGTAAAAACGCATTTCAGTGCACAAGAGGGTCCAGCACAAGATCTACGGCATCTTCGGGACCACATGGTAAGGAACGGATGTCCAAATAGTTTTGTCAGCCGCTGCCTTCTCATGCACCCCTAGGGAACAAACGAAGAAGAGCCACCAACACTCTGGTACCCACTATTGTATATAAAGAACGTGTCAGAAGCAAGGGATCGTATCGTGAAGAGCTCGGGGTGGGTACCGCTCAACGTCCGACAGCTATTATGTGCACCACAATCATGAAAATAAAGGACCGACTAGACGCATGAGAGGAATCTGGAGTCGTTTATCAGATCCCATGACGTGAATTTCCTTGCTATTATAAAGGACAGACGGGACGACGGCTTACATCGCAAATAATGGAGTGCAAATGGACAGCACAGAGAGGGAACCCACTGTCTCATGTCGCCACTCACACACCGGAGGAAGGTCACGAATTTGACTCTGCGAGCACGCGGGTAATAGCACGAGCCCGCAGTAAGACAAGACGAGAGTTCTGAAGCCTAGCTGTCTGACACCAACTCCATCGACATGCACGTTGATATCACGCACTCCGTTCCCGCGGCCATAAGCCGCCACCTAATTCCAAACCACGGATGCACGCCGTCACGGCGCCGTGACATGGCGTGGACCCAGCCTCATCGCGAACGTAACTCCCTTTACTCTTATCCCTCTTCTTTGTTTAACTACGAAACTATTCATATGACGCCGCATCCTCACAGTCACTGATGATAGCCTCCTCTACGAAACCAAAAGCTCAGAGTAATGTATGCATTGCTCCAGAGATTATGTGACCATCTTTTTTACAACGAGAACCTGAGACTCGCATATTCGCTTCCACTTCCTAATATTCTTCTCCTTCACTCTGTAGTCCTCGTTGACTGTCACAGAGAACTTGAGTGTTTCTTAAATAATTTTTCCCGAGCATTAGAACAGTATTTTCTGGGAGCTCGTTCCAGAATTTGACGGCACACGGCAAAGAAGCGTATGCTGAACCACTATGTATAACTTTATCTGGACACAAGGTGACTGGGCATCGCCACGGAGGAATCTACAGAACAAGGGATCGATCTAGGGAGTAGCTAGCAAGGTAGCGTTCTTTCCGACACATGCGATTATAAGAAGTTGGAACATTTTTGTGCTTCTCTCGATGTGTTGCCTACAATTACTTCGAGTGGACCAATCTTACCTCTCGTCGTCGCACCTGCGCCATTGTTTTAGTGTGTGGGGCTAGTGTGTTCTACCGTCTATCGTCTTCTGTGTTCTGCTTGTCGACCGGATCTTAAAAGCAAGCCAAACCTTCGGCCAGCTGCAGAACTGCGTGTGGAATCTCCACAGTCTTTAACTGAGCCTCGAACTGACGACGTACAAGGCCGTCGTTCTAACGACGCTTCTGTACGGTGCAGAGACCTGGACCGTCGACTCAAGTCATTCCAGGAAGCTGAACCACCTCGATCTCAGCTGTCTTTGCAGAATACTAGAACTGAGATTGCAAGACAGGATTTCTAACACGGAATTTCTAGAACTCACTATAATCCTTAGCATCCATAACATGTTGAGGCAACTGCAGCTACGCTGGAGCGGCCATCTCGTGATAGTCTCCTAAGGTGTATTTAATCAAACATGTCACTTATTTTCAAGCCACGGCCTGCATCTGCTTTGTCTAGTCGAAAGCTTTCTTATGATGAAAATTTCCCTATCCTGTAGGACGCACAGGTGTATTCATGAAGAAGATTTAGGTCGTGCGTCACCCGTTTCTACGGAATGCAGGACGTGTTGACAGGTGAGACGGGTTCGACTGGTGTATAATGAGGCTTCTGGGACTAGGGTGTCCTTCTCAATGGGATGGATTCGCAAATATCCGATCAGGTCGATTTATGATGCAAATTTGAGGTGACAATAGGGATAACATGGGGCTGTGGCTAGTGAGCTGACGGTGTGGTGGTGCTATTAATGGTGACGGCGCTGGTGATGGTAATACTGGTTGTGTGGGAGATAGGTTTGTCGGGACCACATTGCGGTGGATACGTGAATGAGCAATTAGATCCATAGTACGTATGGATACTCCGGGGGATTTTAAGCAGATCATAACTATGCTGTCTGTGCATGACGGGACTACCGAAACCGGCTCGTCGTTGTAAGATTGGCGATGAGCCAGTCGTGTTTGCATCGAAGCTCGTCGTTCGAATTTGGTTTGAAGTTTGATCGTCTCCCAGTGCTCTGAGATTTCGGCTGTGGATTTCTGTCTAAAGGTACGCCTCGTGGAAACAGAATACGAATGGATCACACATTGTCCCCCTTTTGCATGCTTCAACCTAAGGGTGTAACCATAACTTCATCCACCATTGCAACCCATAGGAAATAGCTGCCGAGAGTTTGACATAGTACCTAATTTTGTTTACCTCGGATTCCTCTCAAGACAAACTTCGGCGCTGCCCCCGTAATCACTCTCTTGCCAGTGAAGGGGTAGAAAATCAACATAACACAGAGTTTTACAGACAAACGATATTCGAAGGCTATGTCATTCATCGTTTCGAACTGAGGTTTTGCATTAAATCCTGTTTGGAAAAGAGCATTTTTCCGCTTAGTAAAGTCACTACTTGTATGTCTACGCTTCAGGTTAATAGATAAATGTAGTCTCAGCGAGATGTCGGCGGTATGGGTAATGCGAACGCAGACGATCCTAATGCGCATGACGCGGATTTCATTCGAACCCACGACCCCGCGACCAGCAACCAGCGCTCCCAACAAATTGGTCAGGTCCGTAGACCTGGAAATGATTATCTATTCCATTCCTGTAAACCGTTCTCTATTTCCTGTGACAAAACTTACTGGAAAAAGTTAGATCGTTCTCAACTACGCGCAATGAACCTCTAACAGTCGGTCCCGAAGAACGCCGTGCGCTATGAAAATCGAATGAAAATGGGCAAATAATGATGCGCAGCACACTGCGACTGATGGCTAGAACTCGGGACCCGGGCTGAAAGATTAGAGGGAAACCCAGATCTCCTCATAGAAATAACAGAGGTGCCTATCAAACACAGTAAAACTAAGCCACGAGAACACGTTGAACACTTTAAACTAATCTGGAGTCTACAGAGTCTGGTTGCACAAAAGTAAAAAACTGCGATTTATCATCTTTTGAGATTCTGCAGAGAGCAATCGAAAGAAGTCACAAATACCATAAGAAGTTGCCAGTAGCACGCTGTACGTTTGTTCATTAGTCTCGAATACCAAAGAGGACGCCTACAGTGAAATCCATTATGCAACATGTCGTGTGAGTCAACAGAGTAAGGACGCGAAGACACTCGCCACAGCTGGACGCATCTCAGCGGCAGACACTGACGTCACGAGCTTAATAGATGGCTCTTCGTAAGCTAGTCGAACAAGCTGAGTTTCAGAAGAAGTGACTCTGGGTGAAAGGCCCAAAGTGACGTCCGGGAGTTGATCATCATGCTCACAGTCTGCGCGCAATGCGGATACAGCCATAAAAGCAGTCACACAGTCTGCGATTCAACCTGCCATCAACACAAGGGCAGGATGCAGTCACCAGTTATTCCCCTGATAGATCATATTGTGTGGTAGACCAGGGAGTTCCTGAGGCCTCTGGTGACGCCCTAGAAGAGAGGGTCAAACTCGATCTCCTGACACTCCACATTTACTAGATGACACCCAAGAGCCCGATGCGATGCTAAGGATCCGGAAGATCTTCCATTTGAGGCCTTTAAATAGGAGTTACACAGAGTGAGTATGGCTGACACTGCCGATAATCGTATTAGGAAGCAAACGGCAACTAGCAAACATCAAAAAACATCACTACTAAGTCACTTCCTTTCTTTCGCTCGCTCTTAGATAGGGCACGCAATAAAATCGATGTCTCCTCAGATTATATTAGGAAACACATAAATTGTTCGAAAAACTCACGCCACTAGGGAACGGACGGGATTCCAAATTTCATTATCAAGCGAACTTTCTCCTGGAAACACGGAAGGCATCAATTATCATTCCTTTTTTCGAGTCTGGATTTTGGTCCGATGTTAATAACAATGGAGGCCTACACAAAGCACCGTCTCTAACAAA